GTCAGTTCTCCACACAGAAAGACAGTCTCCTTCCCTTGACAAACATCAGGAAGGGTCTGATTTTTAATTTATCGTGGAAGGTGACAGCTTCAAAGTAAAAAAGAGAAGATTGGGTAATTCATTGCAAAGGGAAGTTAAATTTTTCCTCTTCTGCTTGTAAAACTCAAAATTTGAAGAACTTCAGGTAATAGTGAAACTGGACTAAACTGGATCACGAGGGTCCCTCTGATTTGGTGAACTCTGAGGCATGGACTCCATGACCCCAGCATCAAAGCTGTCATCTTACTGTAATAAATCCGCCCTGGGGCTTTCATTCTCTGATGACGTTTCAGTCGTGGGGCGAGAGTGTGCGGGATTTTGTCTCTGAGTCACGGAATCAGGCAGCTTTCTCAATGACCCCAGCGTTGTGCAGTGGATGAGCTAGTTTGTGTCGTCACATACATCTTCTCTCCTCCTTTTATCCTTCCCCATTCGCCTTTAGCTACTTTCTCTCTTCTCCACCATTATTAGGCCTGCTCCCCACCACTCCCCTCTTCCCAGGACCCACCACCTAGAGATGCCATTTATTTAGCCCAACAGCTCCTTAATTCAAGGGGTGCCTGAAGGGTTCTTGGAAGTGTTTCTTGCTGGTTGTGATCCCTGGGCTCTTAAAAGGGAACTTGAAGCACAGCCTTGGGTTTGCACCTGGTCCATGATGCCCAGGCAGATCCTGGGATTCTTTGATTAAATCATGCCCACGGGCCAGAGGACCAGAAGACGACTGTTCAAAGAAATGTGGCAAATGTGCAAGCAAATGAGCGTGATCCCATTGAAACACTTTTGGAAAGAAATGGAAATATAGATATGTAAAAATGCCTATGTATTATCTTACTATTCCCACGCGCACCCTCAGCCTCTGCAGGTATCTTCCAAAGTGTTCAGCATGAACGAAAGAATCAGCCAAACTATGAAGATGTGGGTTAGAACAGAGGACAAAGTACTCCTTTTCACCTGACTTCCTGGCCCCAAGTCAGGGCCCTCTCCTGCCCCACGAAAGACTCTGTGTGCATTCAAAGCCATCCATTTTGCCCTGGGGTTCTCAACATTAGCCTGTTCTCTATGCAAGGGGCTCTTGAGTTCTTAACAGCACTATACTGTAGACTTATTCAGAGACGTAGGGCCCCAAGGGAAGGCAATTTTAAATTTACCTTCTCTTTAGATCCAGAGGTCAACAGCATGGCTACTGGCTAGGTTAACATGGCAAGAAACTCACAGCTTTGTCCAGGTGGCCGGGTGGGTGCTGCTATCAAGATAGTTCTGTAGTCCCTTTGTGCTGGGAAGCTGCATGCTCTTCTAATGCATGGAGCAAGTCATCAATATTTCTACCAGGATACCACTTCCAGTGTACTAAATCACCTTAGGTATTTTAGAAATAAAACTATTGCCTTCCCAGATTAGTGTTTAGGAACTAGGTCAGTGAAGCACTATCAAATTATGAAAGCTTTAAATTTGCGGATAGTTTCCATAGTCAATTAAGATAGTTCTTGGTGCCTGGAGATATATGCATTACCTTCCTTTGCTTAAAACCACTTCACAGAGGCCACCAGATCATGGAAGTGTGAACTGATCCTTTGCCATAGTTGACTCACTTATCTCCGTGGAAATTAAAGGGCAAGGGGGAAAATGAGCCAATAGGTCTTTCTTACCTGAAACTATTTGGTCAGCTCCACCTACAGGCATTTATGATTAACCCATCAATAGCATACTCCCCAAGGACTGAGAATTAGGGAGCAGAAATCTCCAAGCATTTCTGGGAAATGTCATGACGGAACACAATAATCCAAGTGACTTTTTTGAGGCGTTTGGGCTCTTAAACTGTACTCAAGCTTGAGGGCGTTGTGGATAGACACGCAGGGAATGGACACCTTTCTCCATCCCTTCCTGGTTTCTCTTATAGCTGCAAAAGGTGGATGATTTCTGGGCTCTAAAACAACAGCTAAAAATGATAATATCAACATTAACCGAAAAAGGAAAGAGCAGTTTTATTTCTGATTGTGACTTAAGACAATGATTTTACCCTCAGCAAATGGCACATTCATGTAGTAAGGACGAGGGAATACAGCCATGAAGGGAAAAAAAACCAAAACTGCACTCGTGGAGCTTACGTGTTAGTTGAGGGGGAGACCCTTTCCAGGTGACCCACCTCCCACCATTCTCACCCATGAACATGGACCTTCCTTCCTGAAGTCCACTTAGATGGCTGCAAACAGCTCCTCGCCTGACCATGCCCTAAGTCATTGTGAAAATAGAATTGGTTTTCCTGCTGAGAATTCTACCCCTCCACCCCACTCCCCTGGCCCCAAACTTTCAGGCTCCAAATCTGCAGACAGCAGCCTACCTGATAGGAGTGACATGCGGAGCTGAACCTTCCCCACCTGAGATCCAGGTAAGGAGAGGCTCTGCTGCAGCTGGGGAGGGGAAAGGAGCTAGGTAAGAAAAGGGAACAGTGGGACATGGAGGTGGGGTGGTACCTTCTCTGACCAACACTCCTTGGCCACAGGACACCTTGGCCCTGGAGTCTCGCAGTGGCCTCCCTTAGACTCTGTAGTGACCATGGGACCCCACCTCAACCCTCCTTGGGCTTATCTTCCTCATAGAATAGGCATGCACCCCGCTGTCCTGCCCACCCCTGGCGTTCACGGAGGATGACACACTATGAATGCCTTTTATCCCTGGCCAAATCAATGCCTCTTCACCTCGCTGATTTCTTTCTTTCTTGTCGGAGCTCACTTTCCTCCCCAGGTCCGGGGGACCACCACGTCTCAGGGCTAGAGCTGAGCAGACCCCCCGTGGGGCAGCTCATCTCCCTCGAAGCCGTTCCCCACCCTATTCCCCAAGGGCAGACGCCATAAACGTCAGTCTATCTCCAAACGCGATCATTCCCCCCAAACACAAAAACAACAGAGCCGCGAATGGCTCCGTCATTCCGCCCGCCCCATTGTGAATGCCTTCAAAACTCCTAGAATAAAAGATGAGAGAGGCCTGTGTACGTTTTCTACACAAATGGTGGAAAGTAATAAAATAAACATCAAAGGTGAGCTCCCACCTACTCGCGGCTCCGTCGCTGTTTGCAACAAAGGCAGGAAAAGGAGGAAACTTCGGCGTGGCAGGGCAGCGGGTTAGACGTGCACCCTTCCCAGGGGGCGGGGCGCCCTTTCCCCGGACTGTGGACACCCCGTCGGGATCAGACCCGAGCCGTGGAGCACGGTCTCCGCTTTCGATACCTTCCAACCCCGGTGTCACTGAAGCCACAGCAAAAGTTCTAAAGGAGTTTTGGAAATAAATGGCCATAAACACGTCTTGCGCTCGCCCCCGCCCCCGGGAACACGTCCTCCCAGTGGTTCCTGTTGACCGTCTGGACCGGGAACGGCGCGGCTGAGCTCCGCGGCGTCCGAGGCTTCCGCAAGGGCACGAGCGTAGGCAAAGGGGGGCACCCGCGCCAGACACAGCCGCCCCACGGGAAGAGGGGGATGCTGCTGCCCGACGCAAGAGCCACCAGCCAGGTAAAGAAAAAGGCAAAGAAAGACAAAAGAAAAGTGAAAGTCAGAGCCCATTTAGTGAGCAAGAGTCAAGGTCATCCAAAAAGGCGCCCACAATTCCAAGCTCAGTATTTTAGAAAACAAAGGTAAGTCTCCGAAATGAAAACGTACGAAGGGGCACAGCACGTGGCTCCTGAAACAGATCGCCGCCAAGTGTGTCCCGCACGGTTCCTGCTGTTCCGCACCTGGCAGAGACCAGGGAGGTCGGGTTCCCAGCTGCTGGAGAAGCACGCAACGCCGCGCGCGGCTCAGGCCCAGCCCTTGCGGGTGTCCCTCCAGGGCACCGTGGAGTTTTCCTGCGCCAAGCGCCCTCGCCCAAATCGCCTCCCCGAACGCCAGGACCGGGATCCCCCCTCCCCGGGACACCCCTGGCCGGGCGCTCTCACCTGAGCCGGGGAGCGGGCGGGCCGCCCCGCGCGCGCACACGCACACCCGCAGACACGCGCACAGCCCGGCCGCGCGCGCTCCCCAGGGGCGGGCGCAGGAGGGCGGGGCCGGCCGGACCCAAAACAAACACCTGCGCGGAGCGACTTCGCCGCCGCGCCGCAGCCTGGCCTCGGCCTGGTGCGCGCCCGCGTGGGAGCCGCGGCCACCTCGGCCACCTCGTTCCGCCAACCGCTCGCCGTCGCCGCCCAGGCTCCGCCCCCGCGGTGCTGCCGCAGGGTTATATTGGGCCGGGCCGAAGGTGGAGGCGACACGCAGCCGCGGCTGGCCAGCGCGGAGATGCTGCCCCGGCGGCCGGGGGCGGGAAGGCGGCTGCGGGCGCAGCGGCCCCGCGGACTCGGCTCCGAGGGTGCCCAGGGCTAAAGGCGCCGGACCTTTCCGCAGCCGAGGCGCGCAGAGCATCCGCTTCCGTGCAGAGGACGCCCGCACGGGACCTGGGACCGTCCGCGAAGAACCCCTCCTGGGCTCTTTTAACGAACAGCAGATGCGAATGCTTCTTCCCTGCAGCAGGAAATTCTAAGCCCGGCGCGCTCGGGCACCAGAGGGTGGAACCGCAGCCACCCTCGAGTCACCTTAAAGTCTCTAATCCTCGAACTGAAGGTGGCACCCACCCAGCTCCTCCCTCTCCGCTCCTCTCAGTCACCCAACACTCAGAGGCCCTCCAGAGAAAAATTCCAGCGGAAGACGCCTCTTCTAGGAAAAGTGACTGTCTCGCCAGACCAGGGAAAGCTCCCGGGGGAGAAAGCCCTGGGATCGCCATCCCAGTCCCCGGCGCCAGCTTCCCAAGTCCGCGCGAAGGAGAAGGGTGCGGCGCCGGGCGGGGACCGGGCGCGCAGGCATGAAGCTGGAGGCGTTCGCCC